TCTCTGCCACCCTCCACCGTGTCCTCCCCAACCGGCTCATTGTCCGTTCATCCATCGGAGATGGCACCTTCCACATAGGTGACCTCACCGCGGTCCACGTCGTCGGATCCTGGCTTGCAGGTCCGTACTATACAGGTGCAGGTCTCGGCGCGCGGCTCGACATCTTACAAGACGGGTGCCCGAGTGTTGCTGATCTTCGCCGTCGCCTCTACACCCAGCGGCCCTTTGACCATGACGCCCGTTGGATCAGCGCCCTCCCCTCTCCTCCCCCTCTTGTCCCGAACTACTCCCATGATTTTTTACGAGAACAACCCAGCCTACAGCGCGACATCCTGTACCGCTTTTACACTCGTGCTCTTCCCTCGGGCTCTCGGTTCCCTTTTGCTGCTGATCGAGGGACATGCTCAGTTTGCCCTTCTGCTCCCATTGAGACTATCTCCCATATCTTCTACGAATGCGGGGTGGCTCCTGCGGTGATTTCCGCCCTCTCATCTGTCGCTCGCCGCCACCTCCACTGCTCTCCTCCTCCTGAGCTCTTGCTCTTTCCGCTCGCCTCGAGGGCCGGCCAGGTGGCTCCCTGGAGCCTTCTGGTAGGCACATCTGCAAAGGCCATTTGGAATGCGCGCTGTGATCATGGTAAATTCCACGACTCACCCTCCTTCCGTTTCGATATTCTCCAGTTTATCCTGGCACAGTTCCTCCTAGCTTTCAAAATTTTCCTCTGGCGCAGGAAAAAACTGTCAAATTAAGGTCATAAATAGGTGCTAAGGTTTAAGAAGGGCCTAGGCTTAGAAGCCTAGGCCAAGGAGTTACGAGAGAGTTGTCACCAAGGATAGCGAGAGAATGAATGGTTTCACTATGGAAAGAGAGATACATATAGGAACAAGCAAGGCAAAGAGGTGCACCACCACCAAACATGAGACAACTACACTAACACTAAAAACAATTATATAAAATATGCAAACATATTTTGACACGCCCCCATAATTGTTTGCAGGGATAAGTGTAGCAACACCCCCTGAATGGGTACATCACAGACAAAGAAAAAATAGTAACAGCAGGCAAGGGCAGATGCAAGTTCACACAATAAAGACAAGTGGCAGCACTAGAGGGGCAGTGAGGAGGAGGAGTTGGGAGGCGGCAGGTGAGGCTGCTGGCTTCACGGCGGCTGCCTCCTGGAACCTCCCCCATGCTCCCAAACCCCCTGTGCACACTCCTCAACGTCCCTAGTGCCACTCCCCCGGCGCCCCACACCCTCACACCCTCCCCCCCAGCGGCAGCTGCAGCAGTGAGAGAGAAAGGAGGAGGAGGGGAAGGGGATCACACATAACCATCACCCCCAAACCCGCCACCTCCATACCCTCCCCCCCACGGCTGCACGCGCAGCAGGGAGACGATGGAGGGGGGGGGGGGGGGGGGGGGGGGGGGGGGGGGGGGGGGAGGGGGAAGAAGCCGCCCCACGGCCACTGAGGGGCGGCGCGCAGGGAAGGGCAGGGGCGGCGTCACCGAGGGCAGGCGCCGTCGCGGGCGCCAGGGGCGGGTCCGCGGCGGCTCAGGGCACCGTCGCGGGCGCCAGGGGCGGGTCCGCGGCGGCTCAGGACACCGCCGCGGGCGCCAGGGGCGGGTCCGCGGCGGCTCAGGGCACCGTCGCGGGCGCCAGGGGCGGGTCCGCGGCGGCTCAGAACACCGTCGCGGGCGCCAGGGGCGGGTCCGCGGCGGCTCAGGACACCGTCGCGGGCGCCAGGGGCGGGTCCGCGGCGGCTCAGGGCACCGTCGCGGGCGCCAGGGGCGGGTCCGCGGCGGCTCAGGACACCGTCGCGGGCGCCAGGGGCGGGTCCGCGGCGGCTCAGGGCACCGTCGCGGGCGCCAGGGGCGGGTCCGCGACGGGCAGAAAAAACGTTAAGCGCCACCTGGGCGCGGGACAGAACGAAAATCGCCACGCGCCCGAGGCGCGCGACAGGAAAAACAGTAGCGGAAGCGTGAGGCGGGCCCACAGGCCAGGAGTGAACAGGCTCTAATATCATGTCAAATTAAGGTCATAAATAGGTGCTAAGGTTTAGGAAGGGCCTAGGCTTAGAAGCCTAGGCCAAGGAGTTACGAGAGAGTTGTCACCAAGGATAGCGAGAGAATGAATGGTTTCACTATGGAAAGAGAGATACATATAGGAACAAGCAAGGCAAAGAGGTGCACCACCACCAAACATGAGACAACTACACTAACACTAAAAACAATTATATAAAATATGAATAACATATTTTGACAAAAACAATCAATTAAGAAACAGCAACGCTCGGCCTCTCGTCTTAAGCTGGCCACCCGACTACGCTTCTTCATTTTTGATCATGACGGCAACCCTTCTATCCACCCAGATCTTCGCTCGTCATGGCTTCTTGGAGACCCCTTTCGTCCCCCCTAGACCCTTCTTTTTAGCATAGAGCGCTCCCCAGCCTTGCTGGAGGTTATCAGTTGATAAGGAAATAACGTGTTTCTTACGTACGCCTTTGGGCTGTTGGTTGTGTAGACCATATTTCTAGTTGCTCTATGCTTTGCTGTACATGGTTACGACCTTAATATAACCTTAACCTTAACCTTATATATCGTAACGGAAAAAAGCCCCCCTGCGCAAAATTCACGCGACTGGCGCGTCAGATCAAAGGTCTGAAAGGTTCATTCAAATTTTGTACCTCGAAAAGCTGACGCGCAAATGTAGTCACACCTAATGTATACATAAACGGGGGGTTTTAAATCTGTTTTACACAAGGGGAGATTCCGGTTTAACAGCTCCTGGAAAGCAACCACCCAGAAGCTTTCCCAGTGGCAACTTGTTCACATCTCACACCTCCATCACCCCTTCTCCAACTCAGTTCGGGGGCATTCTGCATTCTGCAACATCCCATGGAGTGGAGTGGAGTGGAGTACCCATCGGTTCAGGCTCAAACTTACTAGTTCAAACTTTACTGAGTCATTTTCAAGATGAACCACAACTCGGTTTATACCCTAATCAACAAATTCTCCGCAACATTCCTTTCCTGGAAAATCCATGGCTCTTCCTCCTTCCTCCGATCCCTCGTGTGCCTGTCTTGAATCCACCTGCCATCAAATAATTCCCAACCCCCACCCCTCGCGCGTTCCTACTTTGTCTACCTCCTCTCATGAACACTGGGCCATCTCAAAGCCCTGCCCCACTCTCAGCCCACCCCTCCCCCCATTCCCTCCCACAACCCTATCATCTTTTCCAGTCCTTAATCTCATTCCCATACCTTAATCAAAACATCAACTTGCTCCTCTTCCCTTCCTTCTCTTCCCTTCTCTTCCCTTCCTTCTCTTCCCTTCCTCCTCTTCCCTTCCTCCTCTTCCCTTCCTCCTCTTACTGCTCCTCACCACCCGTGCTTTTCTTCAGCTTCTTTCTCTTCTTCCCCTCCGCCTGATCCCCCCCTTTCTTCTCCTCCTCTTACTGCTCCGCACCACCTGTTCTTTTCTGACTTTTGAGTCGACTCAAAAGTCATCTCCTCTTACTGCTCCTCACCACCTGCGCTTTTCTTCTGCTTCTTTCTCTTCTTCCCCTCCTCCTGATCCCCCCCTCCCTTCTCCTTCTTCAGCTTCTTTTTCCCTTTCACTTGCTCCTCCTCCTGCTCACTCTGCTTCTCCTTCTCCCTCTCCTCCTCCCCCTGCTTCCCTCCTGATTCCCCCACCTGCTTCCTCTTACCCTCCCCTCCCCTCCCCTTCTTTCCTCCCTTCCCCCCTTTCTTCCCACCATCCCCATCCATCCCCTCTCCCTCCTCCACTTCCTCCTCCCCACCCTCCTCACCCCCATTCACCTTCCCTCCTCTCACACGTCCCAACACCACACTCACCCCCTCTCTCAAACTCCCTGCCCTCCCCTCCCTCACTGCCTCTACAGCCGTTATCAGCCGCTGTAACTGAGCAATCACCTGCCCCGTCCTCACCTTCCCTTTCACCCGTTGCACCGACGCAGGGTCGGCCGAAGCTGCCTTCAGCCCCTCAACATCCAAGGCCTGGAGGAGCTTCGGAGGAGCACCCGAACCATCACTCCCGAGCCTCTCATCGCCGTTCGTAACCTTCCGAGAAGTTGCTTCATCCGCGTTACGAGCAGCTGCTGCTAAGAATTCGTCAGCAAGACCAATAGATCGAAGCAGAGCGCAGCAGAATTCCAATCCCAACTCCCACCGCTCTAACTTCCCATACTCATGCTTTAGGGTTTCAATCAGGAGGTTCCCCACCACCCCTTTTTCCACCTGCCCGGATAGCACCTCCGCAGCCCCCTCGGGCAGCGGAAAACGGTTCAGGAACGGCGTGACGAGTTTCATCGCAGCTGCCCGGACGAACTCCGACCTGCCCGAGCCACACTTTCTGAAAAAGTACGGAATGAGAGCGGAAAAAATCCCGGGGAAGCGAGCGAGAGTGTCGCGGATAAAGGTCAAGGGAAGAGGGCAATCCCTAGAGTCGAGGATTCGGGATATGGCAGAAGACAAGGCGTCTAGTACTGTTGGGTCAATCAGACATGCCTTGAATGCGTTACTCTGCTTCCCCTGCTGCTTCTTCCCCTGCTGCTGCTGCTGCTGCTGTTGAGGCTTGGAGTTGTTCTCCCGCTCACGCTTGGAATTCGCTTCCCGCTGGGACTTAGCTAACAGCCGCGCTTGGATGACGTGGCAGAGCCACATGGCACAGTCTCCCGCGACGAGCGCCAGGTGGCGGATGGAGGTTCGCCGCGTGGCCTCTGCGAAGCACTCCTGCATGGCTGTCCGGGCGGCAAGCAGAATTGCCTCGTCCTCTCTCTCCTGCTGCCGCTCCTGCTCCCTTTCCATTGCTATCCTCCTCATCTCCTCCTCTCCCTCCTCTTCCTCCTCATCCTGATCACCAGCAACACCAGCAGCTGCAGCAGCACCCTTCCCACCTCCCCCCTTACCTCCTCCCCCACAACCACCACCGCTCCAACCACCCGCCTCTGCAGCATCCTTTCAACCCTCACTAGCACAGCATCATGCCCCGTGCCCCCCCTTCCCTCGCCACCTCCCCCGCCCTTCCCGCCCTTCAGGCTCCCCTTGGCCGCATAATTCCCCGCTGCCGCCTTCAGCAGCTGCGGCACCACGGCTAGCACGAGCGGATCGCACGAAAGCGGCCGCCGACCTTCCAGTGAGAGGGAGTGTGCGTGTGCGTGTGCGTGTGCGTGTGAGTGTGAGTGTGCGTGTGCGTGGTGGTGGTCGTGGGACTGTGAGGTGGATTGTGGGAGCGCGGTTATGGAGTACCCAGGAGGGTAGGAACTAGGAGCGTGTGCAAGCCACGTGTCAAGGAGTGAGAGTGCGCGCAGGCGGAAGTGCTCCCCCAGCAAGATGCTCTGCCGGCGCTTCCTGCGAGTCTCCGCCTCCACTTTCTGACGAACGATGTCGGCCAGGTGCTGGTCAATGCGGAACATGGCTGCATCGTCCATCAACTCCTCGTTGTCACTGTCGCTGATGCTGCCGTTGGCATTGCCGATGCTGTTTTCGTTCGCTTCTTTGATAGCTTTTCTTAATGCAGCGTCCTCCTCGTCCTCCTCATCTTCCTCCTCTTCCTCTTCCTCTTCCTTCTCACTGCCTTCTTCCACTTCCGACCCTTCCTCTCCACTCTCCCCTTCCTCCTCCTCTTCATCCTCCTCTTCCCCCTCCAGCACCTCCTCTCTCTTCTTGCTCCTAGGATTCGTTACAACCACCTCCATTATACTCTCAAGGGCCTCTGCAGTCAGATCATTGCAAAAGGCGCTAAAGACACCCTCTGCCGCCCCTCTCAGCAGAGATGACTCCTGCGCCAGTAATGACAAAACCACGTCCACCAGTGACAGCATCACATCCTTTGTCTTTTCCTCCTCCACCTTCTCATCCTCCTCGTCCTCTTCCTCCTCACTCTCCTCCGCTTCCTCCTCACTCTCCTCCTCACTCTCCTCCTCACTCTCCTCCTCACTCTCCTCCTCACTGTCTCCCACCCTCTTTCCTCCTCTCCTCTTCCCTCTCCCGCTCCCATTCACGCCAGCCTTCCCTGCTTTCGGAATCAACCAACTAGACGCCACCAGCTGGCGCGCAATAGCAGTGACGTCAGCAGCAGCTTCCAGAAGAACGTCGACGTCACCACCACCAGCAGCACCAGCAGCACCAGCAGCACCAGCAGTGGCAGCAGCAGCTGGAGAAGCAGCACCCTCCTCTTCCTCCTCCTCCTCCTCCTCCTCCTTCTCCCCATCCTCATCCCCACTCCCGTCAGTCTCTTTTGCCTTCCAAATTCCCCCACCCGCACCAGCCTCGGCAACAGCCTCGGCAGCAGCTTCGGCGGCAGCTTCGGCGGAGGTCTGGATGCGAATGCAGAGCAGGAGCGTCCCTAGGAGCACGCCCACAGCTTTCCTCCGAGCTTCAATCAGAGGAGAAGCAAAAGCAGGGACTGGCAGGGCCGCTTGAGTGACACTTAAAGCTCCCTCCTCTGTCGCTTGAGCAAAAGGGACTGGCAGGGCCGCTTGAGCAACGAGCTTGAGTGTTTCTTTCAACCCTCGTGCAACTGCCTCCACATCCTCCCCTTCTTCCTCCTCTTTCTCACTCTCCTCCTCACTCCCTTCCTCCTCCTCCCCTTTCCCATCAACCTCCATCTTTCCATTCTCAGCACCCACTCTCCTCCTCTCTTCTATCCACCCCTCAGCCTCCCATACTAGCTGTTCGACAACCCACAAACCCGCTCCCTTTATGCTCACACCCTCAGTGCCCTTCCCCTCCTTGCCCTTCCTTCCCTCCCACAAACCCGCTCCCTTTGAACTCACACCCTTCACACTCACACTCACGCCTTCAGTGCCCTTCCCCTCCTTCCCTTCCTTCCCTCCCTCCCCTTTCCTCCCCTCTCTACCCGCCCCCAACGCCCTCTCCACCTCCCTCCCCTCAGGGCTCTTAACGAAGTAGTCCAGCTGCTTGAAAAGAGCTTCTAGCGAGGATAAGAACCGGGACCTGCAAGCAGCCAGCACACCACCAGAGACAACAGGGGAGAAAGAGAGCGCCCGTGACTCTGAACCTTGCCCCTTCTGCTCGTCCTTCTTTCCTTCCTTGCTCCCCTTCTTCCCTTTCTTTCCCTTCTTAGAAATCGCCTCCTCTTCCTCCTCCCCTCCTCCTCCTGCTGCTGCCAACCCCCCACCCTTTCCACCCTGAATTTCACCCCCCGTTAGAGCGACTCTCATAATGAACCCTAGAATCACCTTCCTTAGAGTCACATGCTCCCACACTCCCTTAACTGCCTCCTCTGCTTCCCTCTTCCTCCTCTCCTCCTCTTCTCTCACCTCCGCTCCCTCCCCTTCCTTCCCCTCCCCGTCTCCTGCACCATCCGCCATTTTAGCAGCATCAGCATTCGAAACACTCTTCTTCTTCACCTGCTTAAGCGTTTTTCTTAAGCTAAGCGCCGGTTTGGGAACTGGTTTAGCCACCAGCCTACACATCTGATCCAAAGCCCAAAACCTCCATTTCTCCACCTCTGCCTCTCTCTCCCACTCCTTCTCCCCTCCTCCTTCTCTCTCCTCCCCAACCACACTCCCCCCCTTACCTTCCTTCCCCTTCTTCCCCTCCTTCCCTCGTCTCCCTCCCCTCCCGTCCGCACCTCTCCCCTTCTCCCTCTCCTCTCCCCCTAAACCCACAAACTCCCCTGGCCGAGCGAACACACCCTGCAGAAGCCCATAATACGCCTTCTCCCCTTCAGCCCCTGCAATCCCCGATGCAAGCAAGCGGACAGCGTTGCTGCGTGTGACTGTATCGAATTGCCCCTTGGAGTGATTCTGCAGGGTGGTGAGAATAGCGAGCCTTGCTGCTGCTGATTCCATTTCTGCTGCTGCTGTTGCCTCTGCTGGTGCTGCAGGTGATGCTGCTGGTTTCGCTTTCTTCATTTCCCCCCTTGCTGCCTCCTTCCCCTTACCCCCTGCCCCCCCTTCCCCCTCCTCCTCCGCTTCCCCTTCCTGACCTTCCCCTCCCTCCTTTTCCCCCGCTTCCCCCAGCGTCGGCCATCGCTGAATCAGCGCGACGCAGCGCTGACTCAGCGGGAACAGGTGCGCCCTGCTCCCCGCCCCCAGCGCGTCCATTAGGCAGCGCGTGATTGGCCGAGAGAGGATCACGTGGGCCGTGGCGGTGGGAGGGAGGCGCGGAATTAGGAGGAGGAGGAGATTAAGAACCAAATACCTCCTTTCATGGGAGGAAGGGATTAATCCCCTGTCTACTATTATAGACCAGAAAGTCGAAAGGGCGGAGGAGGGGAGGGGAGAGGAAGAGGAGGAGGAAGAGGAGGATTTGGAGAAAGCGGGGGAGAGAAATGGGAGGGACGAGAGTGGGGAAGAGGAGGAGGAGGGGAGAGGGAGTGAGAAGAGACGGTCTAGAAGCAAGGCCCAAACTGCATGCAGGCGTGGGTGGGAGGAGGAACTATTTTGCAGCACAAGCAGCAGCTTCTCCAGATGGGCAGCGCTGAAAAAATCTTCTGCCCGGCCGGACTGCGGCAGCAGCGGACAAAGGGCCAGCAGAGCGCCCAAAAATGTTTTCCCGCTGCCCGTTTCCGCCCCTGCTCCAGCAGCACATTCCCGCCCTTTCGCCCCCTTTTTCCCCGATTTTTTCCCTGCCCCCGTTTCTCCTTTCTCTCCTCCCTCCTCTCCTTTTTCTCCTCCCCCCTCCCCTGCCTCCCCCAGCTGCCACAGCTTGAGCGCCAGGTGCAGGGCCTCGGGGGAAGATTCGGAGGGGTGTCGCGAGAGGAAGGCTGAAATGGGCGGGAGGGCGAGGATGCGCGGGAGGGTGGAGGGGGGAAGCTGCGCACATAGAGGGAAAGAAAAGGGAAAGAAAGTCGACTCAAGAGGAAGGCTGAAATGGGCGGGAGGGCGAGGATGAGTGGAAGGGAAGACGAGGAGAGCTGCGCACATGGAGGAATCGGACGGGGTTTGTCGCACATAGTGGGGAGGAAGGGAGAGGGGAAGGGAGAGGAGAAGGGAGAGGGGAAGGGAGAGGAGAAGGGAGAGGAGAAGGGAGAGGAGAAGGGAGAGGGGAAGGGAGAGGAGAAGGGAGAGGAGAAGGGAGAGGGGAAGGGAGAGGGGAAGGGAGAGGAGAAGGGAGAGGAGAAGGGAGAGGGGAAGGGAGAGGAGAAGGGAGAGGGGAAGGGAGAGGAGAAGGGAGAGGGGAAGGGAGAGGAGAAGGGAGAGGGGAAGGGAGAGGGGAAGGGAGAGGGGAAAAAAGGGACCAGGTTAATCAAGACGTTACAGGGTATCCTGGAAAGTCTGGGCGTTCCGTGCCATTTGAGTCGACTCAAAAGGGACCAGGTTAATCAAGACGACTTTTATGGCGCCTTAAGAAAGGGACCAAGTTAATCAAGATGTTACAGGGGATCCTGGAAAACCTGGGCGTTCCCTGCCCTCTCCCCTCCCCTGCCTCCCCAAGCTGCCATAGCTTGAGCGCGAGGTGGAGAGCTTCAAGGGAGGAGTGGGCGGGGTGTTGAGAGAGGAGGGCGGAGACTGGTGGCAGTTTGAACGCCAAGAATGTTTGAACGCCAAGAATGTTTGAACGCCAAGAAAGGTGCAGAGCTTCGGGGGAGGAGTGGGAGGGGGTACGGAGAGAGGAAGGCGGAAATGCGTGGCAGGGAGGAGGGGGGGAGCTGCGCATACAGGGGGAAAAGGTGAGTTGAAGGGAAGGGGATGGGAAGGGGATGGGAAGGGGATGGGAAGGGGATGGGAAGGGGATGGGAAGGGGGGGGGGGAATGGACAGCAGGCTCCGGCGAGAAACAACCGATGCTCTCCGACCCTCCAAACCTGGGATACCGCCTCCCCCGGTAACCGCCCTCTTGAGACAGCACAAACTCGATATAGTCACCTGTGATACAAGAGCCACCAGCAGCACAGTACCAGGCTCAGAAAACCGATGCAGTATCGCCTACCTACCCTGGCACACACTTCTCAATACAATCACCTCTAATACAGTCACACTGAATATAGTCACCTGCTCATTTAGAACGTTATCATAAATAACTGATGTATTGTCATACATAACTGATGATGTATGGATTATCTCTTCACCTGTGCTCGTTACAGTCACCTGCTTGTTACAGTAACCTGCTCGTTATCATGACCTGCTCGTTATAGTCACCTTCACATTACAGTCACCTGCTCGTTACAGTCACCTGCTCGACTTAGTCATCTGCTCGTTATAATCACCTGCTCATTACAGACATCTCCTTGTTAGAGTCACCTAGTCACCTGCTCGTTAGAGTCACCTGCTCGTTGGAGTCACCTGCTCGTTAAGTCACCTGCTCGTTACAGTTACCTGCTCGTTAAAGTCACCTGCGATACGAGGGCCGCTAGCAGCACGGTAGCAGGCTCGGCGAGAAAAGACAGCTGCTCGCCGAACTTCACCAGCTGAGATACCACCTTCCTGATATGCTACAGCACAAACTCGACTAGTCACCTGTCCGTTATAGTCACCTGCCCGTTATAATCACCTGCCCGTTATAAACACCTGCCCGTTATAATATAATCACCTGCGAAATCAGTGCCACCAGCAGCACCGTTGCAGGCTCAGCAAGGAAAGACCGTTGCTCGCCGATCCGCAGCAGCTGAGATACCACCTCCCCTGGTAACCACCCCCCCCTCCCCACCACCCACCCTGCCTCCCCCCCTCCTCCTCCTGCTGCCGCTGCTGGATTTTCAGTTGCGGAGGAAAGGGAGGAAGGGGAGGCGAGCAAGCCGCTCCGAATGAGGGAACCGAGAGCAAACATACGACCAAAAAGGGCCTCAGAGGCGTCCTGAGGGAAGGGGGTTTTGGGGGAAGGAGAGGAGGGGAGAGAATCTGAGGGGAGGCAGCAGGCTGCTCCTGATGGGAAGAATCTGGAGAGTTTCTGGCAAAAAAGGGCCAACATGCGCCCAAAAAGGGCTTCAGAGGCGATCTGGGGGAGGAAGCAGTGGGAGGGGGAAAAGGCAGGGTTGAAAAAGCTGCTTGAGTGGCGAGCAAGTTGCTCCTGATGAGAGCACCGAGAGCGAACATGTGACCAACGAGCGCTTCAGTTCAGAGGCGACCTGGGGGAGATAAGGGGTAGGGGGGATATTCTTTGAGTCGACTAAAAAATGAGGGAGATAAGGGGTAGGGGGGAGAAAAGGGAGGAGTGGTTGGGAAGGGGAGGAAGGGGAGGCGAGCAGGCCGCTCCTGATAAGAGCACCGAGAGCAAAGACAGACAGGAGTGCTGGTCTCATAGACTCTTGTATATACTCCATCCATCTCCATTCATGTGCTGCTCAGCATAAAAACGGCTCTCTTTTTTGTGTTTTTTGTTGTTGTTGTTGTAAGAACGCTTACATCATTTAAATCTTTCCCTTAGAGGCACAAGCCGGTATTTTTTCGGCGCCTCTTCATGTTTCGCGCGCGCGCGTGTGTGTGTGTGTTTCAATGATTGATTGAATAATTAGGTTGTCGGAGCTTTTACACATTTCACCGTAAAAAACACAAAAAAAAGGCAAATAAAGGAACAACGTCGTCAAATACTGTTTCACCTTTCCCCCTAAAAAAATATTACCTGGCGTAATGCTAAACTTCTCTTTATTAAAAAAAAAAAAAGTTGATTCGTACACCCACTTGCATACGCGTTACAAACAAAGCCCCGAGCTCACCTTTCCCCGGGCGTTATTGGGAAGAGGGATGAGCAACGGAATAGCAGCAGCAATGGCGGGCAGGTGCGGGTGAAGAGAGAGCAGCGCGCGGAGACAGGCAGCTAGCGCCACCGAGTAGCCCTGCCTTGCGCCCTGGCGACATAGGAGGGAGGGGGGAGGGGGAAAGGGAGAGGGGAGAAGAGGTTGTGGGAGAGGGGGGGGGGGGGGGGGGAGGCGGGAAAGAGAGGGGACTGGGGTTTAACGGTCAAGGGCAGCTGCGATGGGGGGCAGCTGATGGGGGAGAGTTGGTGAGTGCGGGAGTGCGGGGAGTACGGGGAGCGCGGGGAACGCGGGGAGCGCGGGGAGTGCGGGAAATGCGGGGAGTGCGGGGAGTGCGGGAGCGCGGGAAATGCGGGCAGCACGCGGGGCCAAGCGTCAAGGGCAACGGAATGACTCCGCGAACCTCATATTCGCGGAATGACTCCGCCAAAAGATTCACATATAATATTAAGAGACAAAATCAAGTCCACTCATAAGCTTACCCCGCGCGACGACTCAAGGCCTCTAACCAGCCTCTTAACGGCGTAGTGAATCTCGTCGCAACACCCCTCCAGCTTTGAGACGTCTCAAACCTCCAGCTCACCACTCATGTGCGTGAAGACCCCTCCAACTCACCCCGCGGGACGATTCAAGGCCTCTAATCAGCCGCTTAACGGCGTAGTTAATCTCGTCGCAACACCCCTCCAGCTTCAAAATACTCTTCGTCTCTTCGCCCTCCTCCTCCTCTTCCTCCTCCTCTTCCTCCTCCTCCTCTTCCTCCTCTTCCCCACTCTCCTCTTCGTCCTCTGTCTCCTCCTCACTCGCCTCCTCTTCCTCTTCACTCTCATTTTCCTCCTCTTCCGAACTCTCATCCTCTGAACCCTTCTTAAGCCCTGAACCCTTCGTCGTCCCATTTCCGCTAGCGTTTTTCGCATTCCCCTTGTCCTTCTTCCCCGCACCCTTCTTCCCCCCGCCTTGCGCGCGCAGGTACGCCTTTTGCGCCGCCGTTAACTCGGAAACCAGCGCCACCGTCGCCGTTTCTCGCGGCCCGCGTTTCACGGAGGCCAAATGCCAGTAGATCTGCAGCCCCGCCGGCTTCGCCTTCCGCCGCTTTTTCGAAGCTTCCCGGCCGGCTTTCGCGGGCGCCGCTCGCTGCAGCTGCGTCGACGGCACGAGAAGATCTTGCGTCTCTGCGCCGAGATTCGCGGCGGCAACTGCGAAGGAGATCGCGCGGCGGCGGCGGTCGCGGAGGTTGCGCTTCTCTCGCTTCGCCTTTTTGCGCGTCTCGATCTTGTTGAGGCGGCTCGTCGACGCCTTGTGCTTCGCCATGGCGACTGGCTGATAGACGAGTCGACTATGACGGTTCGACGATGACGGAACGATTCGACTAACTAGGAAAGCCCAAAACAAGGATCAGAAACGGAACGAAACTCGACCGTTCCGCAACAAAGGGGTTTCGTTCCCGTGCGGCGGGGAAAAAAACAAGAAAGCGGCGAGAGAGGGTTTTGGTAGGCAAGAAATAGATTTGATGCTGGCGGGGCGGTGGTGGTGTGGTGGGCGATAAGTCCCTGCAATGTGGGATTTAGGCACCCATAATTCGTTACAGTCAGGTGCGTTGCGATCGAATGCAAAAATTTGGTCGATCTGTTCGTTACTAGACAAATAATACACACGCAAATCAAAGGGGCTCTTCACTACAAAACAGTTTCTGCATTGAAAAACCAGCCTACATAGATGTGCATGAGAGTCACAAACAGCTGGAAAAAAAAAAAAAAAAGTAAATCGCCCTTATTCGAAAAGATAAATAGTTCTTTGTAACTCGAGAGCCCCGTACATGAAATATGTTGGACAAATTTATTTTCCGAATACCCACTTTCTCTTGTATTGTGCACCTGCTTTTGTGTTGATCATGACCAAAACCTGATGGATACAGTGAGGGAATGCACATGCATATATGAGCATGAGTGTATATGTTTGTCAGAAGAGGGAGGGAAGGGCGAAATGGCGAGAGAGTAGCATGAGACTGAGAGAGCAGAAAAGGGTTTCCATGTGATAAGCCAGCGAAGTTGCTCCACACTCACCAGTCCCCAAAACCATGTGAATCGAGTCTTGTTTTGATCAACTCAAAATGAGTCGTGTTTTGAGTCGACTCAAAATAAGTAGCACGAGACATAGTAGAAAAGAGGTTCTATGAGATAGGCCAGGGAATCTGCTCCACTCTCACGAGTCCCCATGACCACTACCATGATATTACCTTGCCCATCAACAATTTTGAGGCGCCCCCAAAATACTTGAGGCGCCTCAAAAGGGATGGGCCAGGGAAGCTGCTCCACACCTCACCATCCCCATAACTATTGCCACATGATCTTACCTTGCCTATCAGCAACCCCTCACACCATGCAACTTGCTGCTCCACTCCACACATGCTGACTCACTTGCAACTTGCACCACCATGCAACTTGCAGCCAAGAACCTCCTAGGAGGGGAAGGCAATCCAACATTTGTTTCAATACTGTATTGAAGGAAGGCGACAATCGCTTCAATACACCAATCCAACAATCAACCCCTCTCTTGCCACCCAAGCCACACGTCAACCCTCTGCACCACTTTCGTTTCATCCTTATCCCACAACCCAGCAGCACCACTCAATCCACTAACATTGCTATTCAAGAACTCACTTTGCAGCCAGCAAGCTCCTGAGACGAAGAAAACTACGCCTCTGCACCGCTTCCGTACCATCCGAATCCCACTCAACCGAACAGCACCTCACTTTGCAGGTAAAAAGCCACCTTGCTGGAAACACAAGTTGGGAAGCTCACCTTGCAGCCGGGCAAGCTCTTGAGATGAGGGCAGCGATTCTTTCCACATGCAATTCACCAGTCAACCCAGCCCTCCCCTCCTCGCACGCCCCCCAGGCCATCTGTCAACCTTTCCCACCGTTCCCATCTCACCCCAATCCCAGCCCAGCATCACCACGCATTCTAACTCTCAAAAGAGCTCACCTTGCACCCAGCAAGCTCTTGAGAGGAGGGCAGAAAGTCTTCCCATCTCCGATTGTACCCAGCAAGAACTTGGGATCAGCAATTGTCAATTCTCCGCATCCCTCCCAACCCAACATCACCCTCCTGATCTCACATAAAAGACACAAGCGGGAAACCTCACCTTGCAGCCAGCAAGCTCCTGAGAGGAGGGCAGCGATTCTTCCCGCACGCCAATCCACTTGTCAACCCTCCGCACCCCTCCCAACCCCTCCACAGCCGCGATTACGCACGCCTTCCCTCCCCTCCAAAACACCGCGTTCAGAAAATCTATCAGCAGCAGCCGGCGTACAGTAATATTCGTTACAGGCTTGATGCTTATATCGAAGAAGCATGAGGAGGGGCTCCAAGAGAGTGTGACTATAGCGGAGAGGAGGGAACCAATGAGACAGGAGGAGGGGTCGGATTGGAATAGCTCTTCGGTGGGAGGTGTAGATATGGTGGTGCTTGTAGCGTGCGATATGCCCTTGCTTATAAGGCGTACAAGAGAATTGGAGCGGGAAGGGGGGACGATCTGAGGGTGGGAGGTAGAAAAAGGAGAAGCAAGACAAATGGGAGGGAAAGAATGCTGGCAGGATGGAGAGGTGGTGCACCTACAAAGTCGAGAGACACAATTGGGTGATGATTTTTTTTTTTTTTTTTCATCCCTAAAACGTCCTACTGGCACCTCTTTCACACGTTGTACACGTTATAAGCCCTAGTCTCAGGGATCCTCGTTAAAGGCTCTTCTCACCTGTTCCAGCAGCACTGTACACTTCTCGTGCACGCCAGCCAGAATATCCGCCCTTGAAACCCGTCCCGTTTTAAGCAGCATCTCTAGCTGCTTAATAGCCTTCTCACACTGCTCCCCACTCCCTCCACTAAAACCGCCTCCACTGCTGCTGCTGCCACTGACCGTTACAGTGCCACGTGTCAGCCCCTGAATGGCTGATCTGACAGCCATAAGACCAGTAGGAGCAGCATCAGGATAAACAGCAACCATGGGAATACCCCTCCCCTGTCCCCCTACTGCCGCTCCCCACACTCCCACTCCTCCCCTTCCGCCTCCCCCCATTCCCCCCCCTGCCGTTCCCGCTCCCCCTGGCCTTCTAAACGGCAGGGGGGCAGCGGGCATGGCGCCAGGCATGGGGGGAACGAGCTGGATGGGGGGAGGGGTGGCGGGGGTAATGGCTAGCGATAGCCGGCTGGGAGGATACTCCTCTGTTGTTACTGCTGCTGCTGCTGCTGCTGCTGCTGCGATTGATGGTGGTGGTGGGGTGTACGATACGAGGGCCTGTAGAAAGGGCATTAGGAGGGGAAAAGAGAAGGGATGGGGAGGAGGGGGAAGTGGTTGTGTTATAAAAAAATAAATGAAGGGTAACTTGCTGCTGCTGCTCCTGCTGCTGCCACTGATGGCACTGGTGGAATGTAGGATACGAGGGGCTGTAGAAAAGGCATCAGGAGGGGAAAAGAGAAGGGATGGGGGGGAGGGGAAGTGGTTGTGTGATAGACAAATACCAAGAGAATGAGCTAGGAAATTTGCTCTTCTTAGGTGGTATGTAAACTGATGGTAGGAATAACTATTATAGTCAGAAGTAAATGGTTGAAGCAATCGACCTTCTCGTAGTTAATATATGTGTAGTGAGATTGCCCTGTAAACAACATTGAATGTGTCATCTCAGACTCAGGTTCAGAAATTAAATTGAACATGTGTTTGTCTGTGAATATGTATATGTACTCGGAAGTTAAAACAGCTCACCTGACTGTAGTGAGACACGTTCGGCCTTTCAAACGGATTAGCAGGCATCGCTTTCATCGGCCCCACTCCCCCAATCCCGCCCATTCCGCCCGCCCTTCCTCCGCCCGCTCCCCCGCTCCGCGCGACCTCTAATCCGCCCACGCTCCCCGGAACAGATCCCGCGCGCACAAGAGACCCGCCGTCGTTACTGGCGGTGCGGCCGGAAATGCTCGAAGCGGATTGGACAACAGGAAGCGGCATGGACCCGACGCGGCTGACCTGCGGCCCCACCACTTGCACCGCACCGAACGGCGCCGGCTGCGGCGCCGGCTGTGGCGCCGGTTGCGGCGAGAAGTGCGGAGCGGCAAACGCGGCTTTGTACAAATTTGGAACCCTCGGTTCTGGCCGAACGGACGGCTGAGATGAGTTGTTGAGAATGTACGGTCGCGATGAGGGCTGCTGCGAGAAGGAACTGGAGCGAGTCTCCCCGCTAAGAGCTAACCCGTTAATCGCGCTAGTCGCCGCTCTATTGACGGGCTGGGAAGACGCGTGGAGCGACTTCGATCGCTGGACGGGCGGAGCGACGTCACGAGGTTCGTTCGCGGCTGAGGCGGAGGCAGAAGCGGCAAACGCGGAGGCGAAGGCAGAAGCGGATGCAAAAGCGGAGGCGGAGGTGGAAGCGGGTTGCGCCCGCTGCTGAGTTTGGGCGCGCGGATCCTCAGGTGCGCTCTCCTCGCGATCGACGGTCAGGATCTCATGCGGAGGCGGCGCGGATATCACATCTTTGGAGACATCTAATGGAGCCGGCGGCGCGCGGTAGCAGGAGCTCACCACCGGGTTCGTAACTACGTCCTTAGAGACGTCGAGAGTGGGAGGCGGTTTGTGAGTCGACTCAAGATTCGGCGGCGCGCGGTAGCAGGAGCTTACCGCCGGGTGGAAAGCGGCTGGCGGTACGAGTGGGTTCTTAATTACGTCCTTAGAGATGTCGAGCGCGGAAGGCGGCGGGCGGTACGCGGGACGAGATGCGGGCCCTTGTAGATGATTGGCTGCCGCCACATGTGGAACCGCGTTTTCAGGAACCGCGGAAGAGTGAGGAGCAGCTGGAGCAGGAAATGGAGCGGAAGGAGCGGAAGGAGCGGAAGCAGCGGGAGGAGCAGGAAGAGCCGCAACAGGAGCAGCACGAGCAGAAGCAGCGGTAACGGTAGGAAGAGCGCCGGTAAGCGCGCCGGCACCTCCGCCAGCAACCGCGCCGGGCGTGCGGAGACCGTAGGTGAGCGCGATACCGTTGGGCGCGTTGCGCAGCGCATCGCGCTCCTGCGCAAGCTCTTGCACCTGATTGGTCAGCTGCACCACGTGGTTGATCAGCTCCGCGCGCGTCAGCGAGTCGCCGCGACCCGCCTCGAGCGCCTGCGAGTGTGCGCGCATATGGGAGAGGAATCGGTGGATAGGCGGAATGGGGGAGGGAGAGGGGGAGAGAAGGGGGGGGGGGGGGAGCGGAGAGGTTGGGCAAGAAGGGGCAGTTTTGTGCGAATCAGCGACGCCGGCTTCGAGCGTTTGAGAGGGTCAGGGCAACAAGAAAGAGAGGAAGAAGTGAACGAAGAGGAATGGGGGAAATGGGGGAAGGGGAAACATGGAGTGCAAGGGCGGGTGGCCTCAAAATTTTCTCTCTTTTCACAAGTGTCGCCCATTGTAAGCACCCTCGCTTGCCCGCCTCGCTTGGTTGCACTCGAAACCTACTTGTACTCGACGTCAACTCGGCAGCCGCTTGTATGCCATAATATGCGTGTGCGCCCTACGTGTATACTCGATATAAGCAACCGCTGACCTGCGTGTACGCGAATATCTGCCGTCGCATGTCTGCCGTCTCCCTTTCCCTCTCTCGAAGCATCGCTTCTAGCCCCGCCACTCGCCCCGTCATCTCGCAGTTCTCCATCTCAACGGCTGCCAGCTTCCGTTCTAGCGCCTCGTCCTCCAAAGACGATCTCCGCCGTCCGTTTTTGCTCCCATCTTCACCGTTCATTTCTCCCCCTTCTTCCCCCACTTCTGGCTCGCACGGGAATGGGTAATTCTCTGTGCCATGCCCGGATATTGCGCCGTCAGTTGCGGCGGGAGGAACGGAGAAATGCGCGTCGACCCATTGCCCTACTTTCGACGCGGCGCGCGCGCGGTCCTCCGCAAGCGCGCGCTCTTCCGCAAACTGTTCCGCCGAGGGATCCGCGTGGGATTCGAAATACGCGCGCGAGGGGTGAAAATGCTGCGGGTGGGTGGCTGTAACGGGCGTGATTGGCGCAGGGGGAGGGATCCATGCGCGATACGCGTGTGGCGGGTGTGCGGCTACCCCTGCAGTGGGCGGCATGGCTCCAGTTTTGACGCTTTGATGCACTATCAGAATAAACTCCGGATGCGTTCGGCGGGAGAGAAAGTGCGGGTAAACGTTGCAATTCTTGAAGGAGCCACTACAATGAGCGACTTGTGGGATGGCTATTGCTCTTACTGCTGCTGCTCCGTTCACTCTGTAATCACAAATTGCCCCTGCACTCAAACTAATGCTTGGTTTGGACTTAGGCATCGACATGGGCAGGGCAAGCGGAAACACGCTTGTCTGTGTGAGATGCTTGCGCCAAGCCGCCTTTTCTGGGTGATGGATTAGCGCAGTTTTGGAAGACACGTGGACAACTTACCGTGTCCGCCGGAAAGATTTGCGGTTGCGATTCGACAATTGTTGTGGACCTCCCCCACGTTCTTTCAAGAAGGCATGGTTTGCCGTTGCACGAAAAGCTTCACCACAAAAATGAAGCTAACTCTCGTACACTATTTTCAGTGTTGAGAATAAAACGTCCACATTGTTTTTAGGGCGAAAAGCCCACAAGGGACATGTGTTTTTTTGCGTCAATATGCCATAATCTCTTGAAAGACCTTACGAAAAAAAAAAAGAGAAAATTATTGGCGAACAGAATAAACAAAATGAATTCACAACATAGCACTCATATGGTTCAACATGCTGTTTTTTTTAACGGAAACTGGGTACTTTTCCTTAGCGCGAGCAAAACACACGGTGGAGAATGGCGGTTAACACCAATAGATCCGCCACGCTTAAACAGCCCCCATCCGTCACTGCCCCACCCTCTGTTGCGTGCTACTTGCACAGCGGAGGAGAGATGGCGCCTGTGCACTATCCATTGCAATGGAGGAATGTGGTGGGAATCACTGAGCCACTGGCATTTCCAGATGTCTCATCAGCTCCTTGGGCATGTTTCGTGCCGGCAGGTTCTCCTTGTAACCCGCTTGGACCACCGCATGCGTTCTGTAACCTTGTGTCGCCACGTTGATCGGGTTACCATGCAGGTCTATCGCATGAGGGTTACCGCCCGTCCACACCTTGACGCTCATCTTCCTCTCCGTTTCAAACAGCGACGCGAGCATTTTCTTCATCGAGCGAACCGCGCCAACCTTCCGCGCACCTCCTCCTCCTCCTCCACCTCCGCCTCCGCCACCGCCGCTCCCGCTGCTGCTGCTTCGCGAGCTGATTCCCTGATTGCTGCTGCTGCTAGCGACGCTCGTGATATTCCCCTGGCATAAAGACGCGATCTCTGCCTCCTTGCAATCCACAGCACCAACACCAACTGCACGGCCGCCAGCGCGAAATTGGTTACCCTGTCGCGGGGGTCTGTCCGTCGGTGTCTGTGCGTGGAACTCCTGCGAAAACGATCTGGCTTTCGCCAAACTAGAGGGAAGCGGGGAAGTGGCCTGCATATCTGCGACTGAATGCACGCGCGACGGTACGAGACTGCTGTAATTGCTGCTATCGCCTTCGCACGCGCTCAGTGCTGCCGTCGGCATTCGTCGCAGGATCGTCGGATCCCTGTCGTCGAAATAGCCGTTGCTGTCGTTACTCTGGAGCGAGACGTTGGATGGTTGTGATATTAAGCGGCGGGTGCTTGAAACGGGCTGGATGAGTTGGCCGACGGATGGGAGGTGTTCGTATATCGCGAGGTGATTGAGAGCGGGGACGGAAACGGAGTGCTTCATACAGGCGGTTCGATTGTTGCCGTCGTTGACTGTAGCGGGGAAGGAGTTTAGCGACTGATTCGACACGTAGTACACCTGATTCGGGATAAGATCGCTGCCTGAGCCATTTGAAGCAAGACTGTCGAGTGCAGGTACCGAAGCGGAGTGTTTCATCCCATCACCAAACCGTGACATCCTTATAACGGGTACACCCGCACCCGAAGCTGGCGGCGTGCGGCTGAATTTCGAAAAGAGTACAGGGGAATCGTCGCGGCGCGGAGTCGAGGCGTTGGAAGAGGCGGAAGCAGCAGGCGCATCATGAAACTGCTCGGATGTTTCGTCGACCTCGGGGATGGCTGATACGGAGATTAAGGCGGACGGCATGCCATGGGTGAGACATATCTCTTCAATAGCGACTCCCGCCTGATCGAGGAGCTCGCACGAAGCTTCCAGCTCTGAAGATTGTAAGAAGCAGGAATGAGGAATGCAAGGGAAAGAGGGGAGGGTAAGCAGCTTGCACGAGTCGGTGTCGCAATTAGGGCACTAAAAACACGCAATTAGATGTAACGATGGAGCATTTTGGACGGTCAGCTTACCTGTCCATTGGTTCTCGTGCGCGTGATCGAGCGACTCCACGTACGCCGCGACATTGTCTTCGTACGAGTAACCCAATTCGCCTTCGTCGTCCTCTTCAAAAATCAGGGGATCGAATCCCCCAGCCGTCGGGCATTGCTCTACGGCGTTGTCCGCGCTTCTGGGTGCAGGGCACCAGCTGGTGTAGCGCGTCGAGTGGAACTGGTTTTCTGCCATTATTTCTACTAGGTTGATGGTGGTTGACAGTGGTTGACAGAGGTTGACGCCGGTTACTCCCTGATTGGGTTACTCTCTTGAGTACGTGCTTGAATAAGACCGACAATGCACCGACTTAACCGCAGCTCAACACACTGTCACGTTACTAATTCAACGTGTACGGGTTATCCGAAAGTTGATCTGTGAAAGGGCGTTGAGCACGTTAGCAAACACAGTTTTAGCCCTTCCCTAATAAACGATTCACAAGCCACAGATACAAGCGCTCAACAGGCGAGTCGCTTATAGTGCAAAATCTGTTTGCTTTGTACTCTTGGGTCTAGGCTCTTGACTCGAACCTTGGCCAAGGAAGGCAAGGCCATTCTCACCTGCCGCTGATCCGAGCTGGACGGACGGATGGCGGTAGGGCGACAGGTGGCTGTGGTTGGATCGGGCACGGGACAGGACGGGATGTATGGCAAGGGAGGAAGAAGCAACAAGGATAAGTGCAGGAGAGGCGAATAGTTCACCGAGGCGCGGTGCATTGCATTTTGCTTGGAGTTATTTCTGCCAGGCAATGCAAGCAAAGGGAAGAGATAATGATCGGCGGGGGTCGAGGTACGGGGGACGAGGTACTGTATGGAGTGGAGGGACAGGGGCAAATGATCTTCAATGAGAATTTTGGAAGGAGAAATATCGCATTTATTACGGAGATCCTTGAAATTTATGTGGTCACGGAGTATACATTTTTCTCCTGGGCAAAGCCCTTGTGGAGAACGAACTGTTCCGATGCCAAAGCCCCAAGCAAAAGAAGTATACCGCTCAAAACAGACCGTGAATCTGTAGTGTTCAGATGAGTAGCGGAGAAATGCAAACATTGCCTTTGTCTTTCGCGGGGACGGGCAGGAAGAGGGATGTTTTCATCTACACTACAGAAACATTCCATGCATTGCCTTGCCACATCATCCTGCCGACCTTCAGCTTGCATTACAGGCGAGGGGGAAAGAAGCAGCAGCAGCACCAAGCAGGCAGCAGCAACAGAAGTGGATTTGTCAAGGGGCTCGTCTGACGTGTCAGCTGTAACGTTTACTGGAACTGTAGTTAGTACAGTATGCACTGTCGTACTCGTTACGGCTGACGCAAGTGCCAGTACGAATTTGGGCTGTGTCCAAAGGCGAAAGGGGAAAATGCAGAGATTCGATAAAAGACAGCCAGAGAGTCGAGACAGCTGTCTACTTCACGAACGACAATCTCGCGGGCTCCGAGAAATCAACAGTGAATAGATGACGTGGACCATGCCACAGAATCGAGAATGGAGTTCGCGGTAGTGAAAGCATTTATGCAAGTAGTGATGCTTATGAACGGTATATTACAAGACTTCAAACACAAATTAGGTGTCACAAAATCTTGTAGTGCATGGCACAGGTTGTGTGAAGGGACATATAACAAGCTAAGCTCCGCAGCAGCCCATGGACAAGCCCTGTCTACAAAAACACACAACTCAACAGCCACCACCTGCATGCATACAAACCGTTTTGTTCCTCCAGCACACACAACACAACCTAGTGCACTTGACGATTGCAATTTAATAAACAAATGTCAACTAGCATGAAGCCAGCACCAGGATGAGGTACCCACTAGCTGGACTGCACCACACTCATACAAGCAAGCAACATGAAACGAATGACTTTCAGAGCCCCAGCCAGCAATCCCCAACCCAAATGGCTATGGCTGGCTATACAGGCTATCTGGTGATGAACTGTTGAGTTGACTGGATGCTGATAGTCAGGGCCACAACATTAGTTGGAAGTAAGGGGAGAAGAGGAGGTTCTAGTGTGTATTGCCCACCCAACCCGTCTCCCACTTGTTCTTTACTACCGTGGACACTGGGTGAACCAAACACAGCCGACGAACCATCAGATAACCTGTCAATGAAACCAGGCGTGCCACTTTGACACACCAGCCCTCATGCCAGATCAGAACACGAATCAGCAATCCACCTCAGCACACAAATCCCTTGCGCCAGCAGCCAAGAGAAAGGGCGGAGTGGAACAGACCCCTGCGGGAGAACCTCGAGAAACGGCAATCCGAAGTCAGCAGGTGGCTCGTAACATAATCCGAAGGGGTTCCCTGAATGTAATTTTCCGCGTCGGCACCCACCACCTGCCACGCCCAAACCACCCCACTGTACTCCACGTCATATCCAGTTGGAGCCGCTTCGGGATTGTTCAGATTGTACAGTGTTTGGCCGAGGATTCCGTGCGTGCGAGTAGACAGCTGCTCGTCTAGAATCTCCATTGAAAAGTGGATAAACGAATCCTCCGGCCGGCGAACTCCCCCAATTTCCGGACGCATACGGAGGAGAATCTTCAACGTATCGCGCACAGTCACGGTGTACACATCAGCCTCCTCATCCCCGTCCTTCCTTCCGGCTTCATCAAATTCAATTTCGATTTCCCCGTCAGCCGTCCCGTACTTGTTTCCTTCCGTCAGATTAAACTCCCGGCCGTCAAGCACAATCCGCTTCATATACCCGCCGTTTCGCGCGGGACTCGCGCTCGTTTTCGCGAAAAGCGCGAGCTTATGATTAGGCGTGATAAACCCAAGCCCCTTGATCCACGAGTGTGTTTCCTTGACTCCCTTCGCGCTGGTTTCTGTGTAACCGTCCAAATACATGTTGACGTGGACGTTATTATCGGAGAGCATGCAGTAGCTGTGGCCGGGCTGGCCGGTGAAATCGAAATGCACGCCGTCCCACCCCACGAAATGCGGATCGCCCTTCACGCCGGGAGGAGGCGGAGAGGTGACAGAGACGGTCGGAGAAGTGGTGGTGGAGGAAGAAGAGGAGGAAGTAGAGGAGGAAGAAGAAGAAGAAGAGGAAGAGGACGAGGAACCGGAGGGCGTGGTTGAGGGGGACTGCTGCTGAGTGGCTGAAGCAGGGGGGTTGCAGAAACCGCCAACACTGGAGGAAGGAGGGTAGGGTAAGCAGAGGATAGAGGCAAGATAGATAACGCATTGAGAGTAGCGGAAAGCAATGCAAGAAGCAATTTGTAATCTTCAACACTCAGCACAACTGCAATAGCTAAGGTGATTGCATCACAGACGCATACATGGAGTAGCACAAGTGTTTAAGTACGAAAGAATAAGAAAAAAGTGGGTAGGGAGGTAGGTCAAGGTTCAAACGTAGGACCTTATTTTTGAGAAGTTACCGTAAAATACGGAATCGTATTAAACGGTGGTAAAAAACGGTAAATATGTTGCGTTTTAAGGTTGGTTAAAAAATACGGTCGTTTTTTAAGGTCTAAATTTTGAAAGAACGGTAAATGAATTTTTTGAAAACTTCAACCATCGAGAGTCAATCTTGATAGCGGGAGGGTTTGTCGTCAGTCAGGCGACTCGATGATATGGCCGCGTCGCGCACTCAAAACAGTCCCGTGCAGCGACATCGCAAAATTTGGCGAGCGGGAAACGAATTTGTGTTCGTCGCACACTCCTTATGAGATATTTCGTGCCATTCAAGTTTCCAATTTCCGCGTTGCACGGAACTCATCCATTAGCCAATCGTTGAAGCTCAACCATCTTCCCTCCCTCACACGCCTTTCTCACAATCCTGTCGACAAAGCAACACCAGCGCAGCCCACGGAGCAAAATCCTATGGGAGCACGTCAAGAAATGGACGTCGGCAGAAGAGTAGGGTGCGGATAGTAGGCAGATATCTATTCTTTACCATTTTATGCCTGATAGTTAGCAGATTCATTTATGTTCACACCCTTAGAGGTGGTTAGAAGCAAGTTTGAAGTCCTACAGATTTTAGTTGCAGAAAAAAATATCCCTAACAAAAATACGCCGTATTATTGGAAAAATGACCGTAGAATACGACCGTAAAAAACGGCCCGTATTTTACGATAACCGTGGGGGGAGGGAGGGAGGGGAGATGGGGGGTTATGGAAATACAATGTACAATATAGATTAAGCGGCGGCGCTTACTAGCTGAGAGGCCCGCTAATCGCCAGACCAGCCGGGGCCTCGAAGCAAGGGGAGCGGGGCAGATGGCGATACAATGCGGTGGAGAGCGGTAGCACTTACTAGCTGAGAGGCCCGCTAATCGCCAGGCCAGCCGGCGCCTCGGAGAGCAGGAAGCACTGCTTCTGTCCGCCAGGGGCGGAAGAAATGGAGCTGTAAGGGGGAGGGGGGAGGGGGGGAGAGGAAGGGGGATGAATGGGGGAGGAAAGGGGGACGAAGGGGGGGTGGGGGAGGGGAAGGGAGAGAGAAACGAATTGTAAGGGAGGGAAAGGGGCACAGGTGCCGAGGAGAGCAGGAAGCATTGCTTCGGTAAGCCAGGGGCGGAATAGATGGAACGGAGACGGTGGGGGAGGGATAGGTGGACGGGAGTCAGGGGGGGGGAAGGGAGGAGGGGCGAGCGAGTGGGGGAAGTAATGGGCGCGATAAAGGGGCACAGGTGCCAAGGAAGTGGAAGAAGTGAAAGCAGGGGTGAAAGAAGTGGAGCTGAAGGGTTGAAGTGAGGGTGAGGGGGAAGAGAAGAGAGAGAAGAAGTGGGGTTGCGGCCTCTAGAGGAAGAGACGCAGTGTTGGCGCGGTCCGTGCAGCAAAGCAAGGGAGTGCGGCAGATTGCGGTGCATTGCGGTGGAAAGCAGTGCAGAGAGGTGCAAACGGTTGACGAGCGGTGCAGAGCGATGGAGTGCGTACGGAACCTACTCTGGCGCGTAGAACTGGAAATAGTGGCAGGCCGCGGTGTTGGCGCAGTCCGTGCAGCAGTCGGGGAAGGTCTTGGCCTGGCGGGCGGAAGGAGGGCGGAGGGGCGGGGGGGCGGTGGGGCAAGGAGGGAATGCGGAGAGGGGAGGGGAGGGAAGGGGAGGGGAGGGAAGGGGAGGGGAGGGGAGAAGAGAACAGCGGAGGCAGGGAGGGGAAGAAGATTGGTGAGCAAAGCAGAGGAGGGGAGGGAGAGTGCGTTGATAGTATCAGAGGGGCACCTTTGAGCAAAAGCGAACCGAAACCGACAGAAGCAAGGGCGCGCCGGCAACGACGAGAAGGTGGGAGGGGGAGGGGGGGAAGGGGAGGGAAGGGGAGAACAGCGAAGGCGGGGAGCGGAAGAGGATCGGTGAGTGGAAAGCAGAGGAAGGGGGAGAGAGTGCGAGTGAAGGAAAATGAAACCGACTGGAGCAAGGGCGTGACGGCAACGAGAAGGTGGGGGAGGAGGGTGAGGCGGGGGAAGGAAGGGGAAAAGGAGGGGTGGTGGGGAGGTGCGAGGGGGGGGGGGGGGGGGGGGGGCGAGATTAACAGAGAGGAAAGGAAAGGGGAGGAGGGGAATGTGAAGGCGGAAGAAAGAATCGGGGGCAAAGGGTAAGGAGAACGGGAAGGCGAAAGCGTGCGCGGCTCGGCACACGGTTGTGCAAGCGCGACTTACATCAGTAGACGACTTGGCAAGGTCGGAACTGATTCGCGTGCCGTAGATCTGAGGGGGGAGGGAGGAAAGGGGGAAGGGGAAGGGGAAGGGGAGGGAGAGAAATGGGGGCAAAGAAAGGGGAGGGAGAGGAAGGGGAGAAAAAGACGGAGAGCGGGTGAGATAATTGAAGTGGGTAGGCATATGGGAGGTGACGCAGTGTCGACGCTGATTTGCATTCCGTAAGTAAGGATGGGGTAGAGGGAGGGAGGAGAAGGCAGGGCAGAAGGAGAGGGCGAGACGAGGTGAAAGTAGATCGTAAATACAAAAGGGATGGCAGGATGCGCAAATCATCGACGTGAATGCAAGGAGGGTCAGGGAGGATTCGGAGAGCCATCTCGACCCTCCTGCACGCGAACTGCGACGTGAAACCCTAAACTGCAAGTTACATACATATTCGCCGTAGTTCATGTTCTGAACGGCGGCCGCATTCGACGTCTGCTGAAACGTGCCCTTGTAGAATCCCAGTGACGGATTCTGGCAAGCTGACTGAGAGCACCCGTTGACCGGCAGAGACAGAAAATTAGACGTTGACGCAGCCGCAGAATTTCCGTTGCTCTGGGTGTTTCCGTTGCTGGCAGAGTTTCCACTAGCAGCAGTATTCCCCGCAGCAGCAGAATTTCCGTTGTTCTGGGTGTTCCCGTTACTAGCAGTATTCCCGTTACTAGCAGTATTCCCGTTACCAGTGGTAGTGGTTCCGCTCGAGCTAGAAGAACCGGTAGATGCGGTCCCGCTACTCTTGGTCCCGCTAGTAGTGGTTCCGCTGCTAGTGGTTCCGCTGCTAGATGTGCCTGTAGTGGTCACGCTAGAACCACTAGACCCGCTAGACGCGGTCCCGCTAGAGGTAGAGGAGCCTGTATTTTTCGTCGACCCGCCACCATTCGTATTTCCGCCAGCCGCTCCGTCCGCTGTAAGTAATAATGTGGAGGCGAGAAGAGTTGTCGCTATCAATATCGCGACGCGCGTGCGATACGCCATGGTTCCCGTTGCTTAGGACGACAACTCTAGGGTTTGCGACGAGTGCAACGCCTGCGATGCCTGTTAGTCGCGCGGATTTAGGAACCTATCGAGGAATTCGCAAGGAGCTAGCGTCGGGGATCCGATGGAGACACTACGCTTCGCCCCCGCAACGACTTCGCATTAGAGCAATCCTCTATGTCAGCGCGAAATGCGGTGTAGGGAAGGAAGGGACGGTTGGGTTGGGGCAGAGGTAGTCGAAGGGGAGTTACGATGGGACTACGGTAGGTGTGTGCAGGGGGCTGGAGTGATGATGAAATCTACAAAAAGGTGCAAAGCGGTTACACAAGGTGATTGCAAATAAACGGCTGGTATTGTACGGTTAGGATGTTGTTGGCGGGTGTGGAAATATCATCAATGAGTCGAGCAACTCACATGATACGGTACTGTCTGGTTTCTCGGTTTCTATGCTGGTACTTGACGATCTATACTGGTCCATTACACGTTCTCAGATTTGGACCTCTCAACTGGCTGTGTACTTGTTGAGCCACTGTTACGATAACAGATGAGGGCGGGATCACTTATCTGTTCTGAGTTTCAGGTGACTGGCAGGAATGTAATTTTGCTAGGCGACATTAGTCCAGCTGAGACTGGATGGCACAGATTGTTGATTTCGACAGACCAGGAGATGAAGAGACAGAATACCTGAGAGCGATTGGGCGGAGACCGTTATTAAGCAACAAAAGAGAGTGAGAGACCAAGAGATATGGCCAACCCCAGATGTCATGTCTTGTGTGGCGTTCAGCTGGCTTATAGCTGTAATGGTTCGCTAAGCACCAAAAACGTATGGCCATGTGTCGGAACCGTCCAATTTACTTCCATTCAGGTGGTAAGACAACGTTCACACCACACACACCGAAGCGGGGAACTCACTGGGACCACCAAGGGGATTGTGGTAGGGAGACCAGATAAGCATCATAAATGTGTTTTGTACGATTTAGCCTGGTGAATAGTGGTGGAAACTTATATGCTTCCTTACAATATTTGTTATGTGTGCGTTACAGATACGGGTGCAATTGAACGAAAAATAGTGTTACCTTACGAGCTGTCGAATAAAAAAGTGTGTGGAATGCAATACCGAAGCTGTAATTACAACTACTGATGAAATAATAAAGCATAACACTAATATAGTGCATAGCTAGTTATGTGGGGTTCGCGGGATCGTGACGGTTGGGTGCTGGTTCGGGGTTGTAAAAACCCGGAAGCGACGCAAGGGACGTTCGGGGGGTGAGATCGTCGGACCGTGTCAAACTCATATACTATAGTCTGTGTAGGCTGTAGTGGGGTAGCTTACATGGGGTACAACACTTTAGGGTTTGGTACTTGTACTCCTCATGCTGCTCAATGCACTCATTCATCGTTTTTTACATGGTTTCAGAGCAGGTTCCCTAGTGGGAACGCTTCCTAGGGCCCACCACGATTTTTTTTTTCCTGCCCGGAGCGCGCTTTGCTCCTGCCCGAGTCGCGCCCCGTGTGCCCTCCCTACCGTCGCGCCCTCTCTCGGCCCCTCACGGCCCCTTCGCGTCGCCCTTAGCGGCCCCTCTCACGGCCCCTCGCGCCGCCCTTACGGCCCCTCGCGCCGCCCTTACGGCCCGTCGCGCCGCCCTTACGGCCCGTCGCGCCGCCCTTACGGCCCCTTACGGCCCCTCGCGCCGCTCGTCGGCCCCTCGCGTCGCCCTTCGCGGCCCCTTACGGCCCCTCGCGCCGCCCTTACGGCCCCTCGCGCGGCCCCTTACGGCCCCTCGCGCCGCCCTTACGGCCCCTCGTGTGGCCCCTCACGGCCCCTCACGCCGCCCTTCGCGGCCCCTCGCGGCCTCTTCACGGCCCGTCGCCGCCCTCCGCGGCCCCTCGCGCCGCCCTTCACGGCCCGTCGCCGCCCTCCGCGGCCCCTCGCGCCGCCCTTCACGACCCCTCCGCCGCCCTTCGCGGCCTCTCACGGCCCTGTCGCCGCCCTTCGCGGCCCGCCGTCGCCGCCCCTGCAGCAGCAGCAGCCGCAGTCCCTACAGCAGCAGCCGCCGCCGTCCCTGCAGCAGCAGCCGCTGCTGTCCCCGCAGCAGCAGCCGCCGCCGTCCCTGCAGCAGCAGCCGCCGCCGTCCCTGCAGCGGAAGCCGCAGCTGCAGCAGCCGTTACCAGCAGCAGCCGCCGCCACCTCCCTCGGGGCCGCAGCCGCCGCCGCCGCTGACTGCAGCCGCCCCTGCAGCAGCCGCCCCTGGCCCCTGGAGCAGCCGCCCCTGCAGCAGCCGCCCCTGGACTTCTGCAGCCGCCCCTGGCCCCTGGAGCAGCCGCCCCTGGCCCTTGGAGCAGCCGCCCCTACAGCTGCCGCCCCTGGCCCCTGGAGCAGCCGCCCCTGCAGCAGCCGCCCCTGGACTTCTGCAGCCGCCCCTGGCCCCTGGAGCAGCCGCCCCTGCAGCAGCCGCCCCTGGCCCCTGGAGCAGCCGCCCCTGCAGCAGCCGCCCTTGCAGCAGCCGCCCCTGGACCTCTGCAGCCGCCCCTGGCCCCTGGAGCAGCCGCCTCTGCAGCAGCCGCCCCTGCAGCTGCCGCGGAGCCCTCGCCCTACAGTGGTGCCGGCCTCGCCGTTGCCGCCGTCGTACGCCTGCCCTTCTTGCCACTGGTGAGCACTGTCCTGCCCGTACTGCTGTTACTGCTGCTCCTGCTGCTACTGCTCTTTCTACTGCTACTGCTGCTCCTGGCGTGGCCAGATGCAGCTCCAGCGCCGTCCGCGTGAGTCCCTCACGCCCCAGCAGCTTCGTGAGTGGTACGCTCGTTGGGGTTGTCGGGGTAGCCGTAGTGGGAGTCGTCTTGGCGTGAGTAGTTCCGGAGCTTCTTGTAGTGGCCAGGTGCAGCTGCAGCGTCGTCCGCGCGAGACCCCTTCGCCTCTGCAGCTTCGCGAGTGGTACACTCAGAGTAGAGGGTCACTGAGTACTGCTCGCTGCTCGTACGTCATTTATTCGCACGGGTGTCCGGACTGGTCAGCCTTGCGGAACACCTGGTCACACAGAGTCCCGCTGCTTCGCCCGTCTGAGCGACGCTTGGCGTACAGAGTTTGGCGACGACGCTGAGCTCCCCGACTGGGTGGAGCTGCTTAGGCAGAGGGTAGATATCTTTGCTCTTGACTATGATGCTATCCTCACTGCCATGTATGCCTTGTCTACTAGTGCTGAGGGTGCCTGTCACCTGTGTGTGCCGCCTGACCCCGGTATCCAGTGTGCTGCTCTAGGTGCTGGTGAGGCTGCTGCTCTAGGTGCTGTTGCGTCCCCTACTCCAGGTGCCGGTGAGGCTGCTGCCCTAGGTGCTCGTGCGTCTACTGCTCCAGGTGCTAGTGAGTCTGCTCTCTCTGGTGCTGCGCCTGCTGCGGTCTTGCACACCTTCACCCTTGACTCGGGTGCTTCCCGCTCCTTCTTTCGAGACTGCACCACGCTCACGCCGCTTAGTCGGCCAGTGGCGGTCTCCCTGGCAGACCCCTCTGGGGGCCCTGTCCTTGCCCGCTTCTCCACTGTCCTACCGTGTCCGGCGGCCCCTTCTGGCACCCTGTCAGGTCTTTACCTCCCCTCGTTCTCTACGAACTTGGTGAGTGGTGCTGACCTCCAGGATGCAGGGGTTCACCAGTTCACTCCTGCGAGTCAGCGAGTGACTCACTATGCCTGTGCTCGGTCGGGCCGTCACTTGGCCACGTTTACCCGTCAGCCGGGGTCGAGCCTGTACACACTGACTACTGAGTCTCCTCCAGTCGCTGAGTCTGCTCAGGTAGCAGCGTCGGGTCAGGTGTTTGCTGCGGCGTCCAGGTCTGGCCCTGAGTCTGCCCCCTGCTCGTGTCGTCTCCTGTCCCACCGGACTCTTCTCTGGCACCACCGCCTTGGTCACCCCTCCCTGCCTCGTCTTCGAGGCATGGCTTCCCGTCTTCTTGTCTCTGGCCTCCCCCGGTCCCTCCCTCCCCTTCCTCCGGGGCCTGCCCCCACCTGCGTTCCCTGCGTCGAGGGGCGGCAGCGCGCTGCTCCTCACTCCTCCGAGTTTCCTCCGACAGAGGCTCCGCTGCAGACGCTTCACATGGACGTGTGGGGCCCAGCCCGCGTCCGTGGGCAGGGTCACGAGCGTTACTTCCTGTTGGTGGTTGACGACTACTCGCGTTACACCACAGTCTTCCCCTTGCGCAGCAAGGGTGACGTCACTGAGGTGTTGATCGCCTGGATCCGCGCAACTTGTCTCCAGCTCAGGGAGAGTTTCGGCTCGGACTTTCCTGTTCTGCGTCTGCACTCCGACAGAGGCGGAGAGTTCTCCTCTGACCTTCTGCGGGCCTTCTGTCGTGCACGAGGCATCCGCCAGACCTTCACGCTTCCGGACTCTCCACAGCAAAATGGGATTGCTGAGCGCCGCATTGGCATGATCATGGACGTCACTTGTACGTCCATGGTCCATGCGGCTGCCCCCCATTTTCTGTGGCCGTTTGCGGTTCGGTACGCGGCGCATCAGATCAACCTTCACCCCCGGGTCTCCATGCCGGAGACCTCCCCTGCTTTACTGTGGACGGGGAAGGTTGGCGATGCGTCTGCGTTTCGTGTCTGGGGATCTCGGGCGTTTGTCCGCGACTTGTCTGCGGACAAGCTGTCCTCTCGTGCTGTTCCCTGCGTCTTCCTTGGCTTTCCACGTGATGCGCCAGGCTGGCAGTTCTACCACCCCACCTCGCGTCGTGTCCTGTCCTCCCAGGACGTCACCTTTGACGAGTCGGTTCCCTACTACCGTCTCTTCCCCTACCGCACTGCGTCCCTCCCTCCCCCGCCGCTCTTCCTTACGCCAGGTCCTCCTCCGGTAGACGCCCTCCCCCCTCAGGGTCCTGCCCCCTCAGGTGTGGCTTAGGTAGATGCGGTCGAGCCTGTCGAGGTAGCTGTTGACTCTGGTGCTGCTAGGGGTGCTGAGCCTGGGGGTGCTGGGTCTGGGGGTGCTGCGTCTGGGGGTGCTGAGCTTGG